TCATGAACCGGAACCGGCCCGCCATATGTCCGGTTCCGGGCCGAAAACCGGCTTTTCCGGGCCGGTTCCGGGCCGGGTTCGGTCCGGGTCCGGGCCGGTTCGGCGGGCCGGTTCAACCCTTGGCCATGTCTAATTTGAACTCAAGAATTAACTTTCGTATAAATGCGAGGTTCAAACAGATACAAATGTTTGTGAAAATGTCTCACTTCATTCCAATCCTCAATTAAACATTACAACAGGCATCTGTTCATGCAAAACTTGTGTAGGCTTTTTATTGATAGTGTATGCTATACAAACTATAAGCTTCACACGCACGAGAAGCTATCGTTTGACTTATAGTTTCGCCTGTTTTGGCAGTCTATTTCTCAGTTCTTCAGCAATGGCATCAATGAACTCTTCGGTATTTAGATACCGATTTCTGGTCACCCTGCATGGGACTCAAGTAAAAATACTTCTAAAAGAACATATCACAACAAAATGTGTAACACTAGTAAAATAATAACAATAAAAAATAGGCTAAATTGCATTTTTAGCCATGTTGGTTTAACGCTATAGCATTTTTAATCCCAAGATTCTAAAATTTTGCCTTTTGGTTCTGTGATTTAATATTTTGCTGCAATTTCAAAGAACCAAAACTGCAACAAATTTCTATATTTATAAATTTTTTATTAGCAATTGAAGTCCGATAATTTTAATTTTTGTTGCAATTTCAGTTCTGTTATTTAAAATTATGTCGCAATTTCATTCAAATGTCATTTGAATGACTGAAATTGCAGCAAAATATTAAATCATAGAACCAAAAAGTGAAATATTGAAACCTTGAAACTAAATTGCTATGATGTTAAACCAACAGGACTAAAAATGAACTTTTTCGTAAAGACTATGAATGATTTGGATCGGTTGCAATCATGTATGCTAAAAGGTGTGCATTGCGAGAAAAAAATAAAAAAATAGCAAAATTGTACTCACTTGGGTCCATGAACAAGAATAGCAAGATCCTTAGTCATCTTTCCAGACTCAACAGTTTCAATGCAGGCAGTTTCTAGCTTCTCCGTAAAATCCAGGAGTCTTGAATTGTTGTCTAACTTTGCTCTGAAAAATTAAAAAAAAAACAAAAAAAAAAAAGAAAAAAAAAATTATTAACTCGATTTGCTACCTATGTGCAAGCCCCCGTGACCAGGCAAAGATTGAGGCTATGCTGTTAGTGCTCGTCTCGCCACCTTTTTGATGAACACGGTAATGACGTGTTACCGTGCCATGTGCTGCCTCGGCCTCGATTGTTTTTCCATCAGGACAAACCTATTTAATCAATAATAAACATTGATATCGGATTAAAAAAAAAATCTAAAAATTACCGAAAACTACTATCGACTTCATTTTACATTTTGTCTCGATGATGGAATTTGCTTATGTGGGTAGGTCTGTATTTTACAATCACACCTTGATATTTTTGGATATAAGAGATAGCCCCCAATTGTTTGCCTCGATTTTCTTGATATCAAGAAAAGTTGTGGATGTAATTTAAAACTAGTGTATACCCCGTGCGATGCACGGAAACAATATTAAATTAACAATATTATAAATAGACCTTGAGTTTGAGTCACTCAATGACCCAAGTGGAAACTACTATTGATCCTATTTAAAAAAAGGAAACAAAAAAAATAATTATAAATTAAAGAGGAAGATAAACAATACTTAATAATTATAAATTAAAGATTCGGGGTCAAACAATGTAAAATTATTTTACATAAGATAATATAAAAAAATTTGATTACACACCATTTCAAAATTATTATTATATTTTTTTGTATGGTTAGCTTATAATATTTGTAAAGATATTAGTAATTAGACCGATAAAAATTAGCTTCTTAAAGTAGATAATGAATTTTCAGTAGTAATTATGAATTGGTTTCTATTTTATTTTATTTTTTCTTTTTAAAGATAATGGATTTCTAGTAGTAATTATGAATTAGTTTCTATTTTATTTTATTTTTTTAAATATGTATAGATAAGGGATGAAATTTTTTAAACACGAGAGATCGTATGCAATGGGATTTTGTAACAGAAGAGATAAGCGTGTAGATTTATACTAAAAATAGGAAAAAGAAAAACAAATATTTATAGTCAAACAACGGTTTTGATAAACTAAAAAAAATGAGCCGATTTTTTTGCCTATTTAGATTTGTCCAACAATTACTATATTAGGATATATTTAATGATTTTGGTGGGAAAAAGTTTCTAAATTAGTAAAAAGGTTATTCTTTTTATATAATGATAGATTGTGATAAAAGGTTGGGGTTATTGTTTTTTAAGGCGAATTTTAACTTCCAATGTAGTTTTTGTTCGAATTTAGTGGGGTTTACTTTCTAAATAAGATGAAATATCACTGTAAATTTAAGGAAAAACAGTAGGCAAAGATTGATAATACAGCAAAATCTTACTAGTACTGATGTCATCAGACCCAAAGACCCGAATCCTGCATTGAGAGATAAAAGTCACTTGCAAACTCGAATTTAATGCAAAAATCGAATCCCAACATAACAAAAGGAACTATACAAAACCTTGGGCTAAAAAATCACTTTGAACATCTCCATCATAATTTTTGCAAGCCCACACATAACCTCCTTCACTCTTTAGGGCATAAGCAACCATATCATCAATAAGACGATGTTCATACCTTATTTATCAAGAGAATATGTCAATATGAAAGAGATTTAAAAAAAAGGCTTCAATGTTTATTTCATACTTTTTCTAAAAGTTGAGGTTTTTACCATATCCCAGCAGCCTCAAACTTGGACCTCCATTCTCTTTCATACACTTCTTGAAAAATTTCCTTGAATCTTCATCATTTGAAAAATAAAAAAACAGAGAGAAAAATGTAAATTGAGAGCTCCATTTACATAGAAACTGAGAAAACTAGAGAAAGTAAAAAAATACTTACCTTCCATCGTACTTCTTTAGAATCGTATTTTTCGTGCTAAGATACAGTGGCCATCTTTTCTGGTAAGCCGTGTTCATTGAAGCCTCCGCAAAAGCACGGATAGACTAAAACAAGAGAAAGCATATCAGTATTGTCATCATGCAAAAAATCAATTTTTCTTTTTCTTTTTTTAGATTACTAATTTCAACTTTCTATTTGTTAGCTGCCATACAGTATTTTAATTCATAGACTCCACATTATGTGCCAAAAACTACTGCTTTTTAGATTTTTTAACCTCTGCCTACTTCCAAAATTTTCATAGAGAGCCAAAACTTTTTATTAGAGTGACATATGTGAAACAAAT